TTTAGATATCCATATAGATAGAAAGAAGACCGCTGCACTATAGGAAAGAGGGCTAAGATTCTGTGCGCTGGATTTGGAAACCTCCCTAACGTTCGGTCCGTTATCTTAAGAGGTGCAACACTTTAAAGGGGTATAATCTGTGCATTATCTAAAACTTGGAGGTGCTTGAAAAGGGACTGAAGAGTTGTTACAAAATGAAACTGAACGCCTATACATAAATCTTTGGAATTCCGTAGTCCTCTTCGGGATTACTTGGGATAAGAGCCAGTCCAGGAAGAGCCATCAGAGACTTGCTGGACATTAGAGAGAATTAATCACGGCGTCTGATAAGGAGAATCGCGCCTGTATTTCAGGTGATAGGCATAGGTCTACGTTATGTACGATGCGGATACATTGGTGGCTATTTAGCTTAGTTTTAGTTTTAGTAAGAGGTTTACGGCTCTTGCAACACTCTTAGGTCATATAAGTGCTGGCACATTGGTTTGGTGTTTCACCACGTGTAAACACACACACACACACACACACACAGACACACACACACACACACACACACACACAGACACACACACACACACACACACACACACACATGCACACCCACGTAGGCTTACAATCACATGCATAAAATAAATGAGCAACACTATAAAAAATAATAATCTTAAGCTAGATACACTCTCAATGTTATTCTGATGCATGCTCTAAGGTCGGAAGTATACTTATAGGATTTGAAAGAGTCCGCATTATGTATGACAGAGCGTTAGACTTCAATCACGCTAATTACGAGATTAATTTTGGGATAATCGCCACAGCAATGAAAAACAGGAACAAGTATAACAACCACAGTGGCAATAACAGTAACAACAAGAATAACAACGACGAAAACAAAAGTAAGAAGAACAACAAACAGTCTCATACTATATGAACGACGGGCACATCAGCAACATCGATATCAATAATAACAATTAAAAAAGAAACAAAAACATCGTTATCAACAGCAACAACAACGGCAACAAGAACAACAATAGCAAAAATAAGAGGGATTTAGGATAGAAATTACATTTTTGAAAATGCTTCATCATATTATTATGCTGTAAGCTTTTCACAAGCCCGCCCTCTTATCAATCACAAAACTGAGAAGAGGATGGTTGAAGAACAGACACAAAAACGAGCTATATTTTTCCTGAACGGTTACATATATCAAGTGACAAGACTATGAAAACGTTAGTGGATTTGAGAAAACATAAGCAGCCGAACACAAATATACGAGGAAATAGAGTCCAGTGAATTATTTATCTTTCAAAATAAGTCAAAACAACAACCCTGCCATGCCAACCACGAACAGTGTCAGCGGATTTTGTAGAACGATGACCTGTGCTAGCATTTAATATTCGACAGCATTATTTCTTAACTCTTTAGATACGTGGCAGACACATAAGTTCGCTCAGCAGTAGACCAAATGCAATGTTGCGGCACATTTCAAATCATTATACTCAATTCAGAAATTTGAATTTACATATTTCATAGTACGTAAGTAGTTGCTTGCCTTTTAAAGCATCATAATATAAAGGAAACTATTTTAAAATCTGTATAAATAAGAAATTGTTCTTCAAAACAGTGCGTCTTTAGGCGTTGCCGAATGAACAGAATGCTTATCCCCATAGCATTAAGATGCACGTAATTATTATTGTTTAGGTTTAAGGCACTTTGCAACACTGTTCGGTTATTAAAGAGGCGCAACCACTGAATATATCGTCAATCTACGACAGAACTAAGCCAGATGGAAAAACGCGGGTAAAAATATTTTCCCAAGTACACAAAGTTGGACCAAGCTGAGCCTCGAACTCCGAACCCCGAACCCACAATCCCACGATTACAAGTTCGGTAGCCGAACCACAAGACAACCGACACCGAGAAAAAACCGTCAGACTTTTAAAATGCATAACATTATCGTATCGAATAACAACTGTTATGAAGTGTCTGCCATTATAAAATATGCGGTAGCTATACATTTTTAAAAGAGGTAAGTAAAACGTTATAACGGATGTCCTTTCCTGAAAACGTTATAAAAGTATTGACTCCGAGAAAGTTTAGATGTTAAAATACTCCCGCTATTTTTCTCTTCTCAACCGCCCCCTCTTTCTCACTCACTCACTCTTTCTCTCTCTCTCTCTC